CAAATCATAATCCATGTCACCAAAATCGTCTTCGCCGAGCAATACCTCGTGATATACATAGCGTCTATCATCTATATCTACATAAATGAGCAACAGCTTAAACGCTTCAGGAACAATATAGCCAGCACACATGCTCTCTACTATATCCTAAACACATCATCCACGAGCATACCTCGGGCATTTAAAAACATATAGGGCACGTTATATGACCGCAAACTGTCATTAAAAACTCACCGAACTCGACTCAGCAAAGAAATTTCCAACAAAACTGGAAAGAAATTATGAAATATATAATAACCAACACAAACCACACCATAACGTATCCATGACAAAAATAAAATAAAATTACCAGTTCCTTTATATGCACGCATCAACGACCAGATAGGATGTTCAGGGAACACAGAAGAAGAAGATGACGACACAACAACATAGAGAGAAAGAACCATGATTTGAAAGTAGGTTATTATCAATGTTGTTACTTATTTCAAGCCTATCGTAGCAGAATAGAATATAATAATTAGAGAGAATATATACATCCTGTCAATCTAACCCAATAATGAGTAATAAATTAGGGTTCACATTTTTATGCTCAGTAACTTGAGCTTGAAAACATTTAGTTTCAGATAATAATTAAATCACAAGACGATATTAACATAATAATATAATCAAATATATGGTCATTTGTTACGTGTATCTTTTTGAATATACAAACATACAGAAATCAACACGCTAGAGACATGAGAATCTATACATAAAAATCGTAATTACAATATTACAAATATAAAAATTTCCCATTTTATACATACTATATAACTATTTTGGATATTCCCAAATATATTGAATAATCATTTTGAATATATTCAATTATGTTAATGTATACGAATATCCATTATATAATACTTATAATTACAATATTACAAATATAAAATTTTCCCATCTTATACGTACTATATAATCATTTTGGATATTACCAAAATATGTTGAATAATGATTTTGAATATACCCAATTATGTTAATATATACGAATATATTGATTATTACTTTTATGAATCACTAATAGCCATGTATTGATCGATATATATGAATCACATATTTTAAAATATATTAATCATAGAATATCCATTATTACTATGTGAATCACCATTCACCATGTATTGATCGATAAATATGAACAACATATTTGAAAATATATCAATCATAGATATCAACATTCTCAAATATACGATACACATATATTGAAAAAGCCAAAACCAAGATTAATTAAAATATGGTAAACACAAAACATATTAAATAGGAAAACATACCAAATAGGATATCGAAGATTCGAATAATTTGTAGATATATATATAATAATTAAGCCTTTAAAATAGGAACCAAAACAAAACATAAAATCATAAAACAGGATCATATGTCCTTTAAAAAACTTCAACGCAACTATTAATCCCTAAACAAAACAGGCACCGCCGAACCATCGTACCAACAACTTGCCTCCCACAACGCCGCAATATACTCTTCATCATCATCGACTAAACCCAAAACACGGCATGCATCTTTAAACGTCAGATTAACAATACCAGCCACCGTCTTAATAGAATCAAAAGATGCCGGGCCTTTTACCCTAAGCAATAAAAGCCTCAAGTAATAAATCTCTCAAGAAGTATCAGGACAATATGCCAAACAACTCGGTTTCCTACCACCACGGCATCTAGGCTTCCAAGACTTACTATTCTGATCCCATACAAATTTCGTAAGGAACTCCGTGTAAGTCAATTGCACTGCATCAGGGTAAACCTTATTACACTCCATCCAAGCAGTAAACTTCAATGAATTCGCGTTGATATTCGAACCAGGAAGATGATACGGTAGAATATAAGTTCCCACAACAGCCAAAACCAAAGTCAACAACTTTCACATAACAACATAAATCTAAAACAAATATAAGAACACAGATCGTAAAACATAAACACGTAAAGATATACATGTAAATAATTACAAAACGACCAACTAACCAGTATAACGCATCGTGAATAATATAACACCCTGTAGAAGCATTCAATAAAAAACACACAGTTAAATACAATAACAAAATTAACACTAACAAATAAAATATCATACATATCATTGGCATCCAGCAAAGACATAAAATAGTACCCAAGAATAGTCCAAATAAAGAGATTATGTGATAAAACGTAACCCACTCACCGAACAACAACAAATAACCTACATAAAGAGGTAAACAAAGTAAAAAAATATAACAAAAAAAAGATACAGACAAACATAAAAAAAAGATTTTAAACAAAACAGCGTACTCTTATTATTTCGAAAGACAGAATAATCGTAGAACCTGAAGACCAATCAGCACCACCAAGCAACATAATCAAGAGAAACACGAAGATACACATGGAAATACTAAAAGAGGGAAACATACCATTATAACCAGAAGAGAGACCAAAACACAATAACTACATAAAACTTACCTTGATAACCAGAAAACCAAACAGCAGCGATCAACAGCCTATACAAAGAAAACACGAACATGGAAACAACACGAATTAGGATCATTTACACGAACAAAACACGAATATGAAAAAATCACGAGTTATAATCATATAAGACGCTAGGAAAACGATATATATATATAATATATATATATATATACAAACATAAAAGAGCAATATATACGAAAACACAATAAATATATCAAACTTACCTTGATAACCAGAAGACCAAGCAGCAGCGACCAGCAGTCTATACAAAGAAAACACGAACATAAAAACAACATGAGTTGGAATCATTTACACGAACAAAACACGAATATGAAAACATCAAAACTATAATCGTTTAGGACGCTAAGAAATGGATATATATATATATACAAACATAAAAGAGCAATATATATGAAGACAATAAAAGCTAACCCTAGGAAAGACAAAAACCTAAAAAATGTGATGGCTTGAAGTTTAGATTATGAAAGGAAGCAAGAGTATTTATACATACTCGGTAACCTAGAGCGACCTAAAAATATTCATAAACGAATATATTCGACTACCATATAAGACGGCGATTCGTAAATGAAAAACCATCTTTATCCAACTAATTCATAAATTCATAAACCATCCTTATCTAACTAATTCATAAATTCATAAATGAAACCATCCTTACCCAAATAATTCATATATTCGACTACCATATAAATCGGCGATTTGAAAAGAAGAACCATCCTTATCCAACTAACCGATCAATCAATCTTATCTATATCGAACTAATCATTCATTCAATTTAATAAACCGTGTATAGCACTAAGCCGATAATTAGATCACGGTTTTTATTAAGGATATAATTGAAAAAATCGATGCATAAAGTATGCTGAGAACGAACGTGAGACTGACACGTCGGAAATCTATTTCTCAAATAATAATATAGATTTAGGCCCCAACTTTCATAAGTATTTGAAAAGAAACCTTAAGAAAATTTAATTCTTATATCACAATCCTATTTATTTGCTCCATTTGCAAATAATAAAAGATGGCATTGCTTCCATCTAATCTGAAAATATCTTCTTATACCAAATATATATTGTACCGAATTATGTATTTTAAAGATATTTCCCTTGATCTTTAAAGTATTGATTACAGAGTGACTAGATAGTTCCATCTTCATATGATTCTCGGCCTAATAATTGAACACTATTATTCAAATAAAACTAATTATTGCTCTCATAACATATTAACTTTCATTAGATTTACAAGGAAATTTAAGAACATGTTCTGCACAAAAAACATCTATAGACATAGATATACATGTAATTCTAGATATGTATACACATCACAAAAGGGGAGATCTCAATATAGCAGATATTGAAGAATCACCATGGAACAAAACGGTCCATGAGAAGACATACAGTGAGCTCGGACATGGTTGCTTCATCTTTCTCTCTTGTCTTTTGTTTAAGTCCTCTTTCTTCTTCTCCTTGTTGTTGTTTGGACACAACAGAAGATGTACTCTTCTTCCTTTGCATCAATGGATTTCTAGGATTTATCTTCTCACTCATCTTTTTCATCTCTCCCACCCAAACCTCCATAGCTTTTGCCATTCTTCTTCTTCTTGTTGATCTCAAAATGAAATTATGAATGAGAGAGAGAGAGAGACGCGTATGAGCTTTAAGTAGACAATGAAATGAAGGGGCTTTTTGGTCTTTTTGACTTACAAAACCATGGCCAGTTTGATGGGTTTTCATATAATTGTGTTCTTGATCAAGAAAAGGAAAAAACAGTGGGCATCTTGGTGAATGTTGGGGTTTTTACATTTGGGGACCATTCAATAATACAAGTCAAGAAGAGCTGTCTTTTTGAGATATGTACAAAGTATCCATCTAAGACCGGCCAAATCATCAAAAATATCTCTTACGCCTTCTTGAATTTTCCAAGTTTTGCAAATAAAAACGTGTGTCACCGACAAAAATAAAGTAACCAACAAAAAAAGACACGTTTCGAGTAATGTGAATATAAAATAATGATTTTCCAAGAGATTACAGCAACCGACCTTAGCTCAGTTGGTAGAGCGGAAGACTGTAGTCTGTGACAGCAAATCTTTAGGTCGCTGGTTCGATTCCGGCAGGTCGGATTTTTTATCCTATTTTTTATTCGCAAGGGTAAAACTGAAAGTTCATCTTTGTAATGTTTTTTTTATGCATGACGTGTCATTAATTATATTTTATTAACAAAATAACCCAAAATAAATCAAGCTGGTTCGTTGCAATGGGATATGGTCTGGCCCAATCCTAATATTCTTCTTATCTTATTCCATTATTACATTTTTGTTCGAACCCCACTTGGCACTAATTTGGTCAGTCTTTCATCTTTGAATGATTGTAATCCAGATTTGGATTGATCTGAATATTCGACTCTTATTAAGTTATTATTATCCATTTATTTTCGTGATATCCTTTGTTTCCGATTTATTAAATTACACGTTTGAAACTACGACTGAAAACGCACATATTACTATAATTGAGTGTGTTATTGAGTGTGTTTATACTTTGTAATTTCCTCACACTAGACTGAAAACATAAAAAAACTGGAAAACTGGATAGATACTGTTATACCAAAGTGTTGATAAGAGATTAATTTAGTAATTTAGAGACATATAGAGACATACTTATTGGTAATCTGGGATATTATAATAGAAAGAGTGATGCTAATATGCAAACTGTTCCCAGTAAACAAAACCAAACTGTACACACAAGGGAGACTGGAGTTGTTGTCGCGTGGCTTCATCTGAAAGGTTAGGGAGCAACAGTAGAGCTCGAGCTACATCCAAAGAAGCCCCAGAAAATTTATAGAACGCATCTCTCCTCTCATCAATGTCTTTCACCGTTCTTCTGCTTATGATTCCAAGACCTCTAGGTCGACTTATGGAGCCCTGAAAGTGGCAGTAACAGATGATAATGAGTCGACAACTGAAGCAAGCTTTTCTTGTCACAGATAGCTTTGGAATGGATCTGTTACCTTCTTAAGATATCCACAACGTTGAATCTTTAAAACCACTTTTGTAGACATGACTGTTTCAATCGCAGGTAGAGCCGCTTTCTAACACCAATGGACCGTTGAGTGCAACTTCATCAGATGATACCAAATGTGTCAGCAATGACCTGATGTGGCATCACTCCGAGACTTGACACGCCATGTGGGTCAAGCTTCTGTCTGATTCAAAATCAATTTTTTATCTCTAAATCCATGGAGTCCATCCTTCATACATGTTGCAGAGGTTATCAACACTTGTAGCCTGCTTGATTAGATAATCCACCTGCTCTGGGATACTACTAACCTCCCTGTACAAATGGTTATAAACTTACTATTGCGAGTTTTTTAAGTTTCTAGTCTTGTAAGAGTTTATTGGCAAGCTGGTTATTGAAACGTACCTGTTGTGAGCAATGTTTCGACCATCTATTTTCATCTCCATGGACTTGAGAACTGACAGTGCATAAGCATTTTTACCTGCGTTTAACATTGCAAAAAGCTGCCTTACATTCTCAAGATACAGGATTTCAACTATACTTAGCATGAAAGCTTGTGGATAGACTAACCTCTTGTGATTCGAGTATGTGTCTGAGTTGGAGGAGACACCACATCACTTTGAACCTCAGATTGTTCACTTGCGATTTGTGCGAGCCTAGTTAACATTGAAAATAGACCCTTCACCGAATCTACAGTAGATGGTACCAAAGGCCTAAGGTTCTGAATGCTCTCTCTAATTTTTACGCCATAAGATTGATATATGGCTAGTCCATGAATGGACGAAACTTCAATGTTTGTCTCGCTTTCCCTAGTCCTAGCTTCAGCAATAAGAGCTTCGTCCTTTGAAAAAGTTGAGTCTAGCGGAATAAGGATTGCATTAGCCTGTTCATACATTAAACCAATCAGCCATTACGTTTGTAAATTACAAGAAAATTAAAAACAAAAACATGTGAAAAAGATTTTAGAATTATCAAATACAGATCAATTTTCAAGATAACACAGAAGCGCAAGATGTAAACACCTTTGAAAGATCATCCATGAGAGAACGGTGCAAAGTGGCTGCCTCCTTTCCCAAACTATGAACATCATGCAGATCCTCTGTTGTTGCAAGAACCTACATTTTATCAAATATTATATTACATACCCAACATAAATGCAAGGGAATTCATGAGATCCAAATTCATCAGGCCATCATAAGATTCATATGTCCATGAACTTGCTACCACTCACAAAACGATAGAATTCTTAAGTCTAGGCCGAGAATTCGCTGCTGAATTTCTAGCATTCTTGAACCAGAGACCATCATTGTTACAAAAACAAGCCCTAACCACTACATCCTTTAGTTCTAGAGGCCCACATAAAGCATCCAAGATCTGACATTAATCTTTGGCTCAAAGATAGCCAATGGCATTTTCATAAGTAGGAGAGCCTGGATATGGTTCTAATCTTCTACAAGAAGAGATATGATCAAATTTCCAAGAAAAGTCTTTCACTAATATCCTAGCAACAACATATCAAGATAAACAAGGACGTCAGAAAAAGCTTATGCTAAGATTTCCCTTCAGGGGAATACCTCTTTGAGCATTGCACCAGCTTCAGTGGTCAAAGCAGTGTGGCCTCTTGATACCCGGATAAAAGAAGATAATGCAACACTAACTTCATGCGTGCAATCTCTCACTGAGAGTATAGTACTTTGCAGATCACCTGTAATATTAAAGATGGATATATAAAATCATTTTTTTCATATGCAGCAACAGTACCTAACCACGATTAACAAAACGAAGAATATGGCATGGGAACCCGTTGTTCTTAGAGAAAGGCAGAGATTGTAGATAAATTGTGAGTCCTGGGCTATTAGGATCGAAAATCTAACCTGACAAAGACTTCGTTTTTAGGGAGGCAATAGAAAGCTCATTTGTGGCAGAATATAGGACAGTCGAGGCAGCTTCCAAGCTGCTTTGTGCAAGCTTCCATTCTTGTTCCATACCTAAAATAGTACAACCAAGCAATACAAATTAGTTATCTAAAAACCGTGTTACATGGACGAGATGTACGGACATGCAATTTCTTTTCTATCAAGATGAGCACTTACGTGTGAAGGATTGATAGGTAACCTCCAGTCGTGCAACTAAGTTCAGATAAGCTTTCTGCCATGCCCTGGAGTCACCCTCTTGAGCCTCGCGCGGATTTCGGAAAATTCCATCTCGTGATGCTTCAAATTCGAGAAGAGACATGCAGATTTTGGCAATGTTTGATGCCTTCTCTCTAGCATCCCAAAGCAACTTCCGGCGTCTCGACAAATACTCATGAAATTCAGAAGGAATACCAGATATCTTGGCCGAAGAGTTTCCAGCTGCGACAGAGCTAGATCCACCACAAGCCCACCCCATTGCTCTCTCTAGCTGACCTTCAGCTGCGAGTGAGGTTTGTTCGCAAGCTTGTAGTCTTTCTATCGACCTGGTGATTTGGGGAATAGCGGAACGTATAGTTTCCAGCAACTTGGGTCTGTCGAGGTCTAAGAAAATAGGATGCAAGTTATCATCACTGGCAAATGATTGTTGCAGTGTAGGCCTAATATTTTGTGAAGGGGTCAATGCACTGTCGTTCATCCATTCCATTTGGACAATATCGAGGCTTGTCCGGCGAAGAGCATCACGTATTTCCTTAACTTGTTTTTTCATAAGGGATGCTGCTGATTTTGCTGCGCTAGCAGTTTCATGAGCATTGCAATATTCCTCGAGCATTGTATGGACTTGTTTCAGATGGCTAGATTCTGGTTTGACTTGATCTCCTCCAACACCATTTTTCTCTGAGAAGTGTTTCAAACGCTCGTTTTCTTTATCAAGCTGAGATAAAAATGCAGGAGCAACGCTTCCTGCCAGGTAACAATCTACTCGTTCCTGAAGTTGAAACTCAAACTTCTTCCTCATAAGGAGAATTAGCTGCTCAAATCCTAATGTCTGATCTGCAGACGGGGTAGCATCATGTACGCATGAATCAAGGAAGGAATGTATGATGCCTACCTTCCAGATGAAGAAGGAATGATCCTTAAGTACGCTTCTGAATCGCCATATGTTCTCAGATTGTGATTGCCCACCGCTCAGGATATTCCCAAAAGCAGGGATCAAATCTGACATAGAAACAGCTGAGTTGCTTAAGGAGGATAATGTTTTATCTAGCTGCTCCAATTCACTAAAAGGCTTAACCAATTCAACCAATATCCCTGAACTTCTGAGATCATTAGGCTTCTTAAACTCATCTGCATTAGTGAGAAGCTGAAACTGTTTCTCAGCTGAGATAAGAGCATTTTTAACTTGCGCTTCTTTCTGTATGAGCAATGATAGCCTCTGGTTCCACGATTGATTAAGTTGGTCCACCTGTGTCCGGCAAGCCTCTCCTTGAGATGCAAATTCCTCTGCTTCTTCCCAGGATTGATGTTCCCTGCTTTTCAAAGCTGCTTTTTCTAGAGCTAGCTGCCCCTCAGTAATATGGCCAACCTTTTTGAAGTAATCTTGCTCAAGTTCAACCAATGAATCTCGTTCCAACTTTATCTCTATGAGATGCTCCAGTGCAGTATCTATGGATCCACGGATTTGTGAGATCAATCCAAAGGCATCCATAAGATCTAAATTATTGAACAAGTGCGTTTTTAAAACATCTGGTACAACAACTTCTGTCATTTGCGCAATCAATGTCTTAGAAGAAAGCAAGGTTCTGTGGAAGATCAAAGCCCAGTTCTCTTCAACACGGTGAGCGGACCCAGTCAAACTTTTTCCCACAGTAGAAATCTCTTGACCAACGTAATATTTTACCTCGTTAAGAAAGTCCACCAATACCATACACATCTCTACCTGTGCCTCTAAATTAGAGCTCAGAGTCCTAGACTCAGATACAAAGCTTTCGCTTCTTTCCTTTCTTTCCATTGAAGCATTCAAAATATACTGTAGTTTTCCCTTTAACCGATCATAGAGTGAACTGATGGATCTGTGCAACAAATCTAATACCTTCCACTTTTGCTTTCCAGAGTCTTGAAGATTCACTCTTTTGGTTGCCTCATATTTATCAGAAAAACCAGTCCTGCTGCTTTCCACAAGTCCTGGAGACTGCATATAATTAATCAAACCATAGAAAAGACGATCCTTGGCCTTTGATTCAGGCCCCGTTCCAATTGACGCAACCAGCTCTGCATACTCTCCCTCTACCTTCTTTACATCCTCTGCATACTTTTCTACCTTATGACACAGATCATCGTAGCAGTTCCTGACAGAATGAAAGTCACCTCCCTGTGTTTTTGCAAATTGTTCACCAGCCTGTCTTTTGGCAAGGGACAGGATATCCGTAGACAGAGCATGCGCAGCTAACTGCAAGACTTGCGCCCAATCGTATACATGGCTTGTTGTATGGTAGTTAAGTGGTAAAACTCTTTGCAAAGCCAAAGAATATGTTTTAAGTGTAGTCAAAGCAGAGGAGAGGCCGTTACTGAGGTCATTAACCAGGAGCGAAATTTCTGTGTCAATATTGTTGCACTGTGCTTGTGTTGGCTCTGGAACTACAGTCAGTCGAACTCCAGCAGCAAGAACAGCAGATGTCAAAGATAAAGAACCCAATATCTCCGTCAAAGCTGCGGGGGCAGTAATTTCAGGAATCATATTTCTTCGTAAGGCACCAAGGATCCTTCCACGCTGCTCCATCCAAACCGCTGTTTCTTGAGCTTTTTCAGAGACGAAGGCTTTTGCTTGAGAAAATTCTTGAGCTTGACTGTCAAGAGAAGCGCGAATGTTTTTTGAATTGGAAGCTGCTTCAGCAACTATTGTCTTTGCAGATGCCTCACGCAGAATAAGTTCTGACCTTTCTTGATCAGCTAGAAGAAAAACAGATGATGCGATCTCATACTGATTCAGAACCTCGGAAAATCGCTGAAACACAATCTCATCATCAGTAAGATGGCAAACGGGTCCAATTTTAATACATAAGACACTAAAAGTCAAGAAGCCATCTTACCTCCAGAGACAATTCAACAGCTGGTAATGTAGCCAGTAAGAGATCATGATGCTCCTAAAAAGAATATAGTAAACCAGTATGGTTAGAGTATTCTTCAAAATCAAGCTTACTATGTCATAGTAAGTGGAACATAATGCTAATTCTGGCACATAAGTGATTGATGAACATAGTTACAAAATATAAGCAACGAGAATTACACGGAAACAAGTATGCTGTAATATGTCTGCTTTAGTGCAATGAATGTTTACCTGCAACCGAACACGGATCTCTTGCACTCTTGATGAAAACAAACTCAAGCTAACGGCGACCTCCATATCTTTTCTTTCCTCACCACCAATGGCAGCATCATCATGGAAATTCCCTCGGGTCCACTCAACCAATGGGTCCCAAACAAAAACTTCCATCAGCATCAAGAGTATGTCCTTGTTTTTCCTTAGAACACCAAGAACAGCTTCACAGTTTGCTCTAAATGTGCCTTCAACACCTGTCAGCCCTAATGCAGCTTCCATTGTGTGGGTTAGCCGAAATGGCACTATCTCAGGAACTTCGAGCCGTTGCCCCTTATCAAAACAGACATTGTAATCTATATGTACCACATCCCCACTGCAAAAATCCATGAGGATGTTATCCAAATGTCTGTCCCCAAGGCCGAGCATGTGACCAACTATACTCATAGCTGCAACACTACCAGAGTACCTGTAAATCAGAAAATTCCCAACTTTATTTTTAACGTACCACAATAATCCAAGTGAATATGTTATGATGTCTGATATCACAGCAGCATAAAAAACTGTGGAACTAAACCAACAGATCTGATCTATTATAGCCACATTTAAACAATTCAATCCTAAATAGTCTTACCTTGCAATCAAGGCTCAGTTAAAAACAATTCGAAACATTGCCAAAACGAACTCATAATCTCCTAACTCCCAACGTTTCTCAAACTGACAATTCTTCTCTATCTTTGTAAGAGGTCTAATCCCTTTAAGAAAAGAAATTGTTTTTATTTAATCGAAGTACCTTTTGAACTTCGTTGTGAAGGCTTTGAACCCTTCACTAGCACACCAAAGTTCCTGGCGCAGTAGCTGCGATGGCACCTCCTTCATAAGATCCAATAGTACTTTACGCTTAACATCATGAGGCCAGTCTCTTCGTGAAGTCACTCTTCTTATACCTTTCTCCTTCAGGGCTGGGATTATTTTCCCGTAAAACATATCACTTGGTCGAGGAACAGGTGGTAGATCTGGACTTTTTGCACTGCCAGGAGCTGATGGCGGCATTTGGGCAAGCTTGACACGTGTCTGCCAAGACCTGAAAATGCTATATATGCTTATAACATTGTCAACCCACTGGATTAAACCAGCTCTACCACTAATCGGAGTGACCGAATAATAACGAATGCCAATAGTACCACCATCTGTTGCTAGAGAGGAGCAGAAGAAAGTGTTAATTGCCTGAAGCAATTGCATAATTCTAGCGTCAAGGCGCAAGTCTTCCCTGCCTTTTAAGAGATAAATATATTTCTTTCCATCTGAGCCAAACATGATAAGCTTTTTAGGTCGTGTCTTGGTTGGAAGAATAGTCACATGATCTGAAAGAGAAGAAACTGTGACTATTCCGTTGAGTGAAGTGTCAGATTCAGACAAGGTTGGCTGCTTCTCCAGACCAGGCATTGGAATGTTACAGGATGATAACAAAGACAAACTAGGAGCAACTTCCTTCAAAGATATTGATGACTTCTTTTGATGAGAAGCCAAAGACGCAGCGATACTATCAAACGGACGCCACACTTCCCCCAGAGCAGCAGGCGAGGGAGGAGTTTTAAATGTCAAGATTGCTGATTTTATACGTTCTATGTACTCCTCATAGAACCAAATCTCATGAGGTGTTTCAGGCTTCCTAGAGGTTGATGCCAAGCGACGTTCCAATGCAACAACAATAGGGGCCATCATGGCAGAATATCTTGCAGCATTTATCTCACCCTTCTCACTCTGGCTTAGAGTAGTATTATCTGTAACACGAGCTGCCTCTTCTTTCAGCAGATTTATCCGCCTTACTACATCTGGAAAACAAAAATTAAAATCAAATCTACATTCCTCAGCTTTTTAAAAAAGGCATTCCTCAGATTTTTTAAAAAGGTAATTTCGAAACAACATAGGATCTCCCAAACTGAATGAAACACAACATCAGAAGTTCAACTTACGTTTTTAAAGTTATAACCCAAGAAAAATATCTATCAAAATAATACCTTCAGAACTCTTTTTACTAAGTTGCTTCACCTAGTGCACCACTGATAGTCTACCTCTACAATCATGGTGTTGTATACTCAGCCTATTCTAGATATAATGGATATATGTTGCACGTGAAGAAGTCACTATCTGATTGCATATCGAAGGTTACTTAAATACTCCTTGAGCTAAGGGATCCATATCTAATGATAAATAAATTTACTGTAATCAACAGTGACTTAACTTCCATTGCCCTAACTAAAAATCATAAGCTGGAAATTTATTGTTACCCATGTGGAGATCTTGCAGTGTGCTGAGCCACAGTTCCTCCCAAAGAACAGTCACATTCCCAAGCTCATTAAGCATAAGCTGCACGTCCTGGATTAATCTTGGATATAGTTCAGTCTGCATATGAACATGATAAAGCCCATGTTAGTTGTTGCAATACTACGAAACAAGTCTCAGCTTGAACGGAAATTTAGACAGAGTTTATGACAGTCTGCTTAGAGACATAATTAAAACAAACATATAGGTATTGAAAAAACTCCATGACATCAGAAAATTGCTAAGGATTTGTAATGTTGAAATTTATTTTCCTTAGGAGAAGACAAACACCAAGTTTGATATGTGGGTTAGCAAAAATTCAACGCATACAAAATTTGGTAGCTTTAGCTTGCAATTTGGATGTGACAAGTGCATCAATTCATGCAGCGTTCAGAATGAAAAGTAGGACCAATTTACACGTATAAAGAAGTTTAAGGAATAAATATTACCAGACAGGCCTTTACGTGCAACAGTTCTTCAGAAGGCTTCTCGTCACAAGCATTCACGTCGACAAGTGTTGGATACACTATGGACCAAGGACACAACTTGGCCAGCATTATCAGTAAGCCTTCTATTTCTTTACGCACTACTTCCTCGGGGTGAGAGCTTAACCGAGCAAAAAGCTGAGGTGTCACTTCCTGTGAAATAATGTTAGCAGAAAGATTAGAAGTTTGATTCGATCAGAGACAAAAAAAAAAAAAAAAAACAAGGGAGAGAGCTTCTCACCTGCCAAGGCTCCAAAGGAACCATCGAAAGAGCATGTTTCAGTGTATCTTTTAACTCCACTCCGTAGTTCAGAAGGATGTGCAAAATATACAGTGTTGATCTCAACGTATTGCTACCGGTTTTTTTATTCAGTGGATCATAGTCTACACCTGTAAACTCACTAGTGTGCAGATTTTTTGATGAATAACGAAGATACTGTGTGAAACCAAGCGCGGAATTCCCAAAGAGAGATACCCTTCTTTTTCTCAGTGACCACCAAACTTCAATCAGTCTGTTAACTATAGGTGATATATCAGTATCTTCCACTTTTTTGTTTGCACATAGCAGTAAATCAGTCAATTGAGAAGCTAGATGAACAGAGAGACTGTCCCAGCCACAATCTTCTGCACTAGGAGCTGCAGCGGCATTTTCTATCATTTCAATCACTTTCTGCTGCAATTCTTTCTTTATTGCGTCGGAATGGTCTGCAGTAGTTGTATGGCAGTTCCCATCTTGCTCAGTGTCTGTTAGATCCTTGAAATCATCCTTCTGAAGAAACTCCATAACAATAGACTCCACGGATTCAGTCTCATCTTCAGTCAAGTGAAACCTTCCAGGTTGGAGCTCTTGAGCAAGAATGCTTGAAAAGGAGAATGAGTTGATGGTGGACTCATTAGGTTTACAAAAAGACCCTGTTGCCTGACGAAAACACCAAGAAGCATATGAAATCCATGATTTTCCCATTGCAGAACATAGTTGGGTGGACACTTTTGTAACAGTGCCAATCATCTCTTCACTAATAGCCTTCGTGCTCGGTTTTAAGCTCTCATATAACAGAGGCTCGCTGCTTGCAGTTGAAGGAATCTCAGTTCTGTTCAAATCCGCTGACATCTTAAGGACAACATTTTCCAAATCCAGAGAAACAGCATCCCCTTTGAGCCAGGTTGCAAGTTTAAGGCATGCTTTAGCCTTTAAAAAGGCCACGCCAGCATCTAAACATACTGGCTCTAACGCAGTTACCTCTGGCTGTACAAACGACCAAAGATCCACAACAGCATCTTCAACTTTGTTTTCTGCATACATCAGCAAGGCTCCCTGATACTGCAAATTTGATATAAGAAAGTCCCGCAGCTTAACCTCAGCACAACTGGATACATTATCATTCAGATAGTCTTTAAGGTGATTTGCAAGCATGAAGTTTCCTTGCTTGCGGGCAAATCCAAACAAGTCCATGCATAGCTTCAGAGTAACCCAGGCGGCTGTCGGCAAAATTGTCCGGTAAATTCGTAGAACTTTTAACCAAGGGCTGCAGTCACGATGAACTCTATTGATCATAGATTGTAGCGACCAGACGCAGGAGCTTAACATCAAATTACTGGGTTTCTGTTTAGGTTCACTGTCTCTCAGCTGGTGACTCTCTTCAAAAGCAAAGAGGCAATGCAACTGTGTGGCATATGGTGCTGTCTCAGATAATCCATCAAATGACAGAGCCAGTGAAGATTCATCTAACATTGATCGGGCCTTTTGTAAGGTATTCGAAACCTTTTGGGAATTTCCGTCAGCTTGGAAAAGCATTGACTGCAGAAGCATCTGTTCACTTCTTTGCAAGGCCACCTTTGGATTAAGTGACAGTTCACCACTACTTTTGGGCGTTAAATCAAGACAAGTCCATGCCGCTTGGATGTTACCTTCATCGAAACGCGCCAAGGCCCGTATTGCATTTATTTCATTCCCAGCAGCAGTCAAAGAACCTGAAAAGCTTTTGCCTGCGTGCCTTGCACGAAGCGCCTGCAACTCTGAAAGCCAGGAATCTAGAGATTTCCAATCAGATAAAGCAGTATAACTCTCAATTATCCGTTCAATCACAAACTGAATGTCATCAGAACCCATAGAGCTGAGACAGTCCTCTTCCTCTAATAAATGAGCAAAATACGCAGCCGCTTTCTCATATCGTCCTTCTGACTGATAAATCAGCCCGGTGATCCATGGAAACATCACCGATTCACCACTTTGCTTCTGAAATTCGCTTTCTTCTGCGACCAAAGGACCTAAATTCACCGAAACCCATTTGTGAACGCCAAGCAGAGCATGTGCATCATGAATTTGACACAAGGCCAATGACATCTGTCGTAAAATCCTTGAGATGTCTGAAGATATCCGAGCTCCAGTATTGTGAACATTGTCAGAAGCCTGCATTTTAGACTTTTCTTTCTTCAGTAGTATTGCACGAATTTTTAGCTCTTCGAGCCGCAATGTGCAATACTCAACCGTAGCATCATGACACTGGAGTGATATACCAGCATTCATCATTGGTTCGGATATACGAGAAAACCATTCTTCGCAAACTTTTCGGTTAGCTCGGAAAAACAGGACACTTTGTGGAAGCGGTGAGCATAAAACAGCAGTCCCCTCATACGCATTGTACACATTTTTCTTTAACGCCTCCACAAAATCCAACAGTAACCTCATTGGTAACAGGTGGGCACCAGAAGAGCCAACATTGGTTTGCTCGCTATCAACCTGCAGCACGGTAGTGATATCTAAAAGCATTCGCTCTAGGACTGCAAAAGTTTGAGTAGGACCACCAAAGTTAGTACGGAGACGTGTGCTAACACAAAACCTTGCAGCTTCATGCACAGCCCACCAAGCACCTGCCAGGTTATTTGCCAAGCAGATCCTCTCGATCGAGCTTTTGTCTGCTTTTATCGCCAACCACCCATTCTTGATCAGGTTTTCATCAGGATGCCCAGCACCAGTATCCTTTGATCCTTGAAAAGCATTAATTAGCCCTTGGATCCAAGAAGCAAAAGGAACTTTCCATCTCTGGGAAACATAATTCAAGACAGACACGAGTTGCTGCGACTGAAAATGATGGTCCGGTTGCTTCAGTGCAAAGACTTGCTTCCAGTGCAAGTAACTGTTTCCTAGCATAAGAACTTGGGGCCTTGGAACCATATGCTCTACCTCACTGTGCATGCCACAAGCATACTGGGTAGCTGGCAAGAGATGGGAAAGCAACTTAATGAATGCATTCTTTATACTCGTATCTGGATCTCCAACCTTTTCAAGGAGGATTTCAGCCAGGGAGTAAAAATGAATTGGGTGTATAAGCTTTACCTCCAGAAGCAGCTCTAAAACCATTGCAGACCGACTCCTCACTTTCGGTTCACTATCAAATGCAGCATCTAAGACCGCCATAACTATATCTCTGACTGCACCAGCATATGGAAATGATTTGCAGAAGTAAGCATCCATATTAAAATTCTTCGATATTGCAATAAGGTTCTCGCAGAACTTTTGAATCCATTCAAGCGACACTAGCTTCACAGCAACAGGGGATGATAAACGAAGAGCTCTAACCATGGTTACGCTGTATTTCCTTAGATGCTCAATCACCATTGTAAAAAATGTGCACTTCAATGGTGTCTTCCCATGATTAGTTTCTTTAAGAACCTTGTTGTCAGGCTGAATTAGCACGGAACAGTTGCTAAGGAGCTCAACTGCAGCTAAACACTCTAACATTCTCACAATGCTGACTTGCAACTCAAAACATGCATCAACATATGACTCAAAAGGATTCAACTTTTCAAAAACAAAAGAAACTAACTTCTCCGACCTCTCAAGATACAAGACAGCAAGTTTGGGCGCGTCACTCAAACTTTTTCTCCCTCCAAGAGAAACACAGGAAAGAAGAGCCTTCATATCAAAGTTAATCAATGCCAAAAGTTCGTTTTTTGAAAATGATTCATAGACTGTAACATCGAAACTCTTGTTTTGGTGGTCCGATGAGTCCACAACCACAGTCTTCAACAACTCAAGTTCTTTCATCAATAATTCCATCCCCTGTTGAACAACTTCTTCACTCTCATGTTGAAGCAAGAATATGTATATGTCAGAAGAGCCTGCTGTAATCAAACGATTTGGGTGCAATCGCAACTGAGATATTGGAGATTCAAAGCCGAGCAACTTCGGCACACATGATGAAAGGAGGCCTTGCTTTTGTAAAGACAGTAACTGAAGATTAGTTTTCAAGGTCCCATGGATCTGAGAAGCTGTCATCTTCCCATGAGCTGCAGAATTCACAGTATCAATCTGTTCTAAGCTCTTCAATAAAATATCAAGAGAAGAAAGATAGTATGTCGAAAACTTTTCGCGCAATATTTCTGCCAGAAGAGTCAAACACTTCCATAGATCTTCAATCCATTTCGCCCAACCAAACCTCTGCCCCATGATAGACAAGAAACCCAATAGCCGAGGAACCATTTCGCTTAAAGGTTCATCCATCTTATCAAGAAGATTGTTCTCTAGTAATCCAGAAGCAGTGGACCGCAAGATTGCTAAGAAACAAGAAAGCAAAGCAAGCAACCTCTGAAACTGTTCTGGGGTTCCTTCACTACCATCACTAAGCAATACATCCATGTCACCAAGAAACTTCGATAACAACCCAACCGAGAAGTCTAAATTATCCACCCAATGTCTCTGAAACTGCAAGAAGCTATCTACCACAATCTGCCTATCAGAGTCAGGCTGGTCTTGTAACAATGCCCAACCAAGCAACATATCAACGATGTCAAGAAAATGAGGATGAAACAAACTATAAAACTTTGAAGAGATCAACAAAAGAACACCCAAGGCCTGATTCAACAAAGGGATAGACGTTCTCTCGTCTTCAAGAAGCGACTTGCACGCGTCGAGGATTGGCAAAGCATACCTATCAATCGCATTAACATCCCCAACCGAAAGAAACTCTCTGATACCTTCAAGTGCAAGTACAATGCTCCCATCTCGAACGCTAACATCCCGAATCAACGGCAAAGCCCAATCAATGAAGCCATCAACAAGCAGCACATGGTTTTGTATTACACTGGCTTCTACAGGAAGAGAGCACACGATAGCACAAAGAGCTCCATATGCAGATACACCAGCATGCCTCACATCATAAGACCTGCACACCACAGAGACTCATAAAAACACAAACTTTCAGATAAAGAAGACAGTGAAATTAGATTTATCTTAATCAAAACTCTCAAAGATGTTGAATCGAATTAATTACTTGTCGGAGAGAAGTTGCCAGAGACCAGAAGAGATATACGAAGCTGAATGTGCGATAAGAAGCGAGTTCGGAGGGTAAGTAATTGCTCTGTGGAGAGACTTTAGAGCAGCGAGACGACCCGAATCGATGTTCTTCTCCGATTTAACATCCCTTTGTCCCGCCGGAGCTGAAGCAGTTTTTTTCTTGTTTTTCTTTGTTTTTTTGGTTTTGAACGAAGCTGAAGCATTGCTGCCACCAGCCGCCGTCGATGGAGAAGCAACGGATTCGGAGGAAGAAGAAGACGGAAGAGAAGGAGAAGCGGCGGAGGGGTCAGTTGGCAAAGCCGCGGAGAGCAGCGAAATCAGCTGCTGTTGCTGCTGATAGTGGAAGCCTTGCATCATATCAAGTCGATTGCAGCTTCCCAGACGGTGGCGATTGCAACGGCGGCGACGATGACGGTTGCCGATTTTGCATCTCTTTTTCTTTTCTTCTCCTCAAAAATTCTTCGGTTGTTTTTATTTCTCATCTGTAAGAAGCAAAAAGGAAAAGTAGACGGACGAAGTTATGAATATGTAAATTAATGTGGACTAGTATGCAAGACAAAAATCGAAGAAAATGTAAATTGTTAAAAAGTAAATCGATCTTTCTTTTTAAATAGAAAACAAATTGTCTAGTCACCACTTACCATTAAGAATTTAAGTTATTATGGATTAGGTTTTTTTTTATAAAGTCAACCAATGATTTAAAATCTACGATTTAGATTAGAGATAAATACCAATTGGTTTTTTAATTATTTCATAATATATGGATATAAATCAGCTAATATTTACAATTTATCTGAAAAATATTATTAATATTTATGGTTATCTAAACTAACTAAATTAATTAAAAAATATATAAAATAAAATTTTTGCAAGAGTAAACTTTTAACCTTTTTTTGAACTTTTAAGCTTTTGACTTCTTTCACAACAACAATAGTAACAAGTAAATTGTTATTATGTTAAAACTATTTCAAAGATTTTTAATATATATATATATATAACTATTTGTTCAATTGTTTTTGTATATGGTGAAAGTAGTAGGATCTAGATAATCATGAATTTAAAAATTTGTTAAGAAGTTAGGATTATAAATCCCAAATATAATTTTTCTATATTAATTGATGATAAATAATAGAGTCATTTATTGTGGTCTTCCACAAAATTTATCATAAATGTGGTACAAATAGAATTGTCATTCTAAAATTAGTATGTTACAAGGAGAAGTACTTTGTAAAGACATTGCTTGTGGAACTATTTATCGTAGTCGCAAGTGTTGCATCATTCAAAACGATAGATCAACAAAAAATGATGATGATTATAACAGGAAAAAAAAAAGACAATTGCTTTTCTGGATTAACATGTAATTCAACAAAGTTGGGATCGTTTGCTAATTATTCATAAAGTTTGGGGACTAAACAGAAGTATTATAAAATATATAACTCTCGGTCTTCAACTTCCCATCGATGCACACATTTAACGCAGCGGCGGAGCTCAGATACGTTGTGCCCTTATTTCTGCCGGAGAAGAGAGAGAGAAAACAAGTTTTCGAACTTCTTCCGGCGAGGGTAAACGATGTCGTACGACGATGTGGAGATAGAAGATATGGAGTGGAACGAAGAGATTCAGGCGTACACGTATCCTTGCCCTTGCGGCGATTTGTTCCAGATTACGAAGGAGGATCTCCGGCTCGGCGAGGAGATCGCGAATTGCCCAAGCTGCTCTCTCTATATCACCGTCATCTACAACATGGAGGATTTTCAAACCGATACCAAGAAGAATAACGAACCCAAAAGTCGCCAACCTGTGGCCGTCGCGTGAGGTAAAAATCTCCCGATCTGATTTTCTCAATACTTTCTGCTTTTAGCGAAATTGGTTTTCTGAAACTGTTTGCCTAAATTATGAATCTTTTTATTGTTGTGCTTGAGCATGGTACTGGTACTAGTCATTTCTTGTGTGTTTTGATCTTGAAGAAGATGAAGCTATTCACTATCTTGAGTGCTCTGCTGAATTAGCTCAATAAGGATGTCAAAGGTTTAAGAAATTTGCTTCCTTTTTGGATTATCTGTTGCTCTGTTTCGGAGAAGGTTCACTTTTTGCAATTAGGTGGTATAAATGAGTAGACTTGGTGGCTGTTAGCAAGCAGGTTACAGAGTCTTACAAGAAAAAAAGCGAAATTGTGTGTTTCTTCTCGAGTTAGGGATCAAGAACAGTGTGCGTGCGCTTTTAGTTTTGTTCTGTTCGAAGTAATTGTGTTAAGTAATGATTAGAAAGAAAGCCATAAACGCAATTTGCAGGATTACGTTTGCTGTTTTTTTCGGATTACTTATGTGAAGTATATATGTTGCTTCTTTTGCAGATTGTCATGGGATCGAATTAGAAGATTATTCAAGAACAGCACAAGAGATTATTCATTCTGTTCAAAAGTTTTGGAAATCATATACAGAGTGTGTCACCATCTTTACATTATGGGTAATTTAGTTTACATCGATCACATATAGAGATAACCACGGAAACAGAGGTGTTGTGTTACTGATCATTTATGATTTTATCAAAAACCGAGTTCTTGGTGCTTTCTTGCACATTTTGATCCGATGTATTGTTTGGAATACGCTCTGATTTGTTTGAAGAAGGTTTTGTACGGTCATCAAGCTCATAAATTCTATTTTTAGGACCGAAGTGTCTTTCTCTCACATTTCACTAGAGAATAGAAGCAAATAGAAAAGCTCAAATCTTTACCAAGAAGAAGCTCAAAATGATAATAAACTATCAATATTACCAAGACATTGGGTGAATATATGATTTTCTTATTGATCGGACCATTGTGACAATGTCAGCACTTAGTCTAAAGTTATGTCGAGTATGAATGATTAAACCAATTTACTTTTTCTTGTTAATGAGAAATGACTAATTTTGGAGACAGAGATCCATTTTTACAGCCGAAATAACCGTTTTCCGCGTTTTAACTCCATGATTTCATTTTTTCGTTTCAATGATCCTAAACCCAGAAAAAAACTCACCCTGGAAGCAAATTCATTCTAATTCTAATCCGTTCTTCATAAGATCGATCCAGAAATCGATATATAAATTCTGTTTATAGGGTTTTCTTGGAGACGAAGAAACTCAATAGCTCAGGATGGTGAAGTTAACAACAATCTTAGGAAAGGGCACGAGAACCATCATAATGATGATGATGATGACGTTGATGGATGTTTTGGTTGGAGCAGCGGACAATAACGAGGTGTACAGTCCATGTTCAGACACTCAAATAAGCAAAGGAGATGGTTTCACCGTAGGTGTTGCAATCTCCAGCAAAGAAGCTTTCTTCCTTGACCAAGTCCAGCTTTCCCCTTGCGATTCTCGTCTCGGTTTAGCTGCGAAAATGGCACAGCTCGCGCTCTTTAGACCTAAGGTAGACGAGATCTCTCTTCTCTCCATCGACACAAGTAAGTTTAGCCCGGTAAGTCTCTCTCTATGGCTACATATGTAATCTCAGTGAGACTCAGTGAGAAAGATTCAAGAAGTAAAAAGCTTATTTGAGATGTTGTCTCTGTGAGGAAGAGTGAAGCAGGAGGATACATGGTTGGATTCGCAGGCTCGAAATACGCAGCAAGATCTTATCCTGTGAAGGTTGCAGATGAAAGCAACACAATCACAGATTTCACACTTGTAAATGAATAAACCCTCTAAACTCTTTCCAAACAAACCAAATTTAGAGAATTGAATAAGCCTGAGTTTGATACTGTATTGGCTATAGGTAATGGAGTTTCAGAAAGGAGTGTTGCAGAATCTGTTTTGGAAGAACTTTGGATGCGATTCTTGCAAAGGAGGAGCTTCTTCTGTGTGTCTTAATGGGACGGATTGTGCTGTTCCGACATCGAAGTGCAAGGCTAATGGAGGTGAAGCTAATTGCAACATTGGAATCCAGGTGGCGTTTTCAGGAACAGACAAGAACTTAGAGTCATTGAACTCTTGGTACGAGGTTAGCAATCTGAGGCAGTACTCGCTTACCGACCTTTACGCAAGCGCTGTAGATTCTCTGAGTGGAGGACTTTTGTAAGAGAGACAAAGTGAGGTTCCTAAATAGGTTTTTCTCACTTTCATGTCTTGACAAGAAGTAACAATGATGAAACAAATAACTTACTTGTCCTTCAAGTTTGCAAACCAAAACTACATTTTTATGGATCAATACAAAAGAAAGAAATGGCTATATATTTGCCACACACAAGAAACACAATCATTGTCATTGTTGTATACACAAATCCTTACAAATTGATAATACAGTATAGCATTCGCTTTTTTGTACACATGGAAGAATGTGTGTGTAAAAAGAGATTGTAAGCAAATAAGATTGTAAGCAACAAAAGGAAAGACCACTCCACTAATACTATTATTTCCTCAACCTTCTTGCAACAAACAAATCACACTATACAATTTGAATAGATCAATGTTTGACTAAACGAGACAACAGATTACAAGTTCAATAATATCTAATATTTATTATTAAGTAGATCAGCTATTTGGTCACCTATCTACACGAATACAAATTGTGGAACAAAATATTAATCGACTATACAGCAAAACTATTCTGTATGGACGTCGCTTCTTACAATTGAAGCAAAGTACTCGACAATACCGGATTATCGTCTTTAATAAAAAGCAAAGTAATCGACGATACCGCATATTAGTAATTACAATATTTCAAAAGTTTGATTTGTATTTACACTTTACAAAGAAGATTACCGTCGGAAACAGTGTTAAGAAAACAAAACGAATGAAATTTTCTTTTCTTTCTCCAAAATGAGATTATTTACAATATTTTTCTTTCTAACATTGTTTTCTTTCTAAAAGCCAACTTTACAAAATTTCATTAATACATGAAATTTTATTATCCACATTTCCGAAAATATATATTGCTATATTAATACTTTTTAACCTTTTAATATTAAATTAATTATTAATTGCATTTGTAATGAAATCACCTATAACAAGGAAATATAGACTTTAATTGGATATCATCCTCTACATATTAATTTATAAAATGGTTTAATGAAAAATGCTGACTTGTTTTAATTTTATTAAGTTTATTTTGTTTGAATAATTTAAATGTTATGTGCAGATGATGACGTATAAAGATGATAAAATTATGACATATTATTTCTAATACATGTGGTTTATGACATAATAATATTTAATATATATATATATATATATATATATATATATATATATGATTCTGTTAAATTTTTGATACAGAATTTAAGTATTCAATTTTTTAGCAGAAATTTTGGAAAATGAGAATTTTGTCAAATAGGTTTTGAAATTACATTTTCAACACAAAAATTTTGTCGGAAAATATGGATTACAAGTATTTCGCAAGAAATTTATGGTAACTAATTTTGGCATAAAGTTTTGATATTTTATTTTTGAAAAATTTATAGTTATTGACGAAAAATTCGTGAAATCACATTTTTGACTAAATGTTTTTGAAAACACATTTATAAAGTAATCTTTGACAGATAATTTATGCATTCACTTTTTTTTATGGAAAATTCACAGATTCGTTTTTTTAACAAAACTTATAACATCATCATAAACGTCAAACTTTTGAAATCATATTTCATGTTCAATGTAGAACTTTTGAGAGATAATTTATGGATTTGTGAGAAAGTTGTGCAAATCAGTTTTAAAGAAAAGTTATTGAAATCACTTTTTGACATAAGTTTTTGATGACAAGTTTATGAATTCGAAAATTTTAGCTGAAAATTCGTGAAATTGGATTCTGAAGGAAAGTTTTTGAAAATTTGAGAGGTGAACAAAAAAATGTTTGGTTTCTATCAGGATGTTTGAGTAAAAATCACTACAAATATTTATATATCAATATCAATTGAGCCATTGGATAAATACATAAAGAATAGATGTCGAAGCCCATAAACATGATTTTGATTTTGAAAGAAAGTTTTTGAAAAAACATCTAGCTTTCTTTTATCTTTATATAAAAACTATAAATCAGACTTCATGTATAAGATCATCTCCAATGATCTTTCGAATTTCATTTTTTTGTTCATTTTGAAGATAAAAATGAAGAAATTTGCTTTCATTTTTTCTTTCATTTTGAGAGCAAATTAAAACATTGTTCGTTTATGTTATGCAATGACCATTAGAACAAATGAAGGACCAGTGTTCATTGTTTTGGCTATTATTACATAAAAATTTATTGTATTTTTAGTTTATGTTATGCAATATAATTTTATGTATAATAAAAATTGTATATCTATAAAATTATGATTGTGATGAATAATGGTTAAAAAAATGAATATAAAGTTGTAAAAGTTAAAAATAAGAGTGTTATTAGCAATTAATAGTAGTGTAATAGCACTTAATAACCATATTGAAAGCGAAATTAATGAACTAACCATATGAAAAGCATGGCTATGATATCTGCTGTGTAACCTGTATTAATACCGAATATATCCCTACACAACAGAGAGATAATGAAATCTACCGTAGATTCGCTGACGCAGTCGATATTTTCGGAGCGGTTTTGGCACGTGCGAACCGAAAAACAGTTAATTCAATTTAGAGGGGAAATATTGCTAGAGAAGTTTTAAAATAAAACTTCTGTTTATTGGGTTTCGTGTAGAGAAACCGAAGAGGCAAAGCGGCAAAAAAGTACGACTTAGAAGGCGATTCCGTGGTTGATCTGAAGAATTCTCATCTGCATTTTATGGGCATATCCGTTGTTTGAATCGCGTACGGACTTCAGGTAACTACTATTTCAATTTGATCTGGGACTTCCTGCCTGAAATTAGCGATAGTGGAAAGATTTTCGATGTTACTGTTTACTGGATTTTAGCCCGAACCCTAATAATGTGGAATCCCTTTTCGATCTTACAACTGCGAGAATTAGTTCTTACACGCTGTCTTTGTGATTAGCTTTTGGGTTTTCCTGTCGACCATGCTCTTTATAGTAATTAATGAAAGCGATTATCCTCCAAAATTATAAATATTTGTCGACTTTTTGTTCTAAACAATTTGTCGAACATGTCACTCGTATAATGTAGTTCATGTGTGTTTCATATCTGTCATTGATGTTTATGTTGTAATAGTATTTACGCTGTGTGAGATGGTTCGTTAGTATAGTTTATCGCGTTAGTCCTTATATATAGTATAGCAGTTTGAAATTTGCTATGTGATTTGTATAATGAAGTTCTATGTGATTAGCATTTCTCGATTTTTTGTTCTTAACAGTTTGTCGAGTGGGTTAGCCGTAATGTAGCTCGTGTTTGTTTCATTCTATGGCATTGTTGGTTAGGTTATGAGTAGAATAGAATTGACCGGAGTATGGTATGAGATCATTAGTATAGTATGCTGCTTTTGTCCGTCTATGTAGTATAACATTTATAACTTTCCTATGTGGGTTGTATATTGAACTTCTATGTGTGCAGGATGGACAAGTTTGTGGATTTTTTGTTCTTAGCAGTTTGTTGAGTGGGTCAGCCGTAATGTTGTCCGTGTGTGTTTCATTCTATGGCATTGTTGGTTAGGTGATGAGTAGGGTAGTATTGACCGGAGCGTGGTATGTGATCATTAGTATAGTCTACTGTTTTTGTCTGTCTATGTAGTATAACATGAGTAACTATGCTATGAGAGTTGTATAATGAACTTCTATGTGTGCAGGATGGACGAGCTTGATTTGCCTGAGAGATTGTTCTCGTCTGGCCATGAACCTAGTGGTCGAAAGAGTGTGAATAGCTATTTCACTCTACGGTGGATAGAGACTATTAAATCAACTCTTGGCCCTGACGAGTTGCAATTACTGGCCGAGTCCCAATTCAACAAAGTGATGCAGATGGGGCACCACACATTCTCTGTCATGTTTGTCCACTATCTGCTCTCGCGTCAACTGGTGACAAAGAAGAAGTACGAACTTTGGTGGCTGTTTGCGGGGAAACCTATTCGGTATGGGTTGGCGGATTTTGCAATGGCGACTGGTTTGAATTGCCAGTCTACGGCTGAGAAAACAAAGAAGCGCAAGAGGAGACATGATTCCAGGAGGAATGAAAAGCGGAAGGAGAAGGGTGTTGAGGTTGGAGGGAGAATGTTGACAAAGCTGTTTGGAAAATTGAGGAAGGTGACACCTCCAGTGCTGATGCAGAAGCTTCTTGCTGCTGGGAGGGCTAATAACGGTATAACAGGGCTTCGTCTTGGATTGCTTTTGCTAGTTAAGGGTATTCTATGCCCTAAAAGTGGCTCAACCAACATCAGGCCTGAAGTAGTCAAAATGTTGGATGATGTGGATGCATTTATGAAACATCCTTGGGGTCGAGAGTCGTTTACTCTGACAGTTAAGTGCGCGAAGACGAGAACACCTGAGCAGCTGGTCCTCCGGCACCTGATGCTTCTGGATATAGTAGGAGACCACGGGACCGGGAGCATCAGTCCGGTACTATGCCATCTGGTGAAAATTGTATGGGACAGTTACCGAAAGATGGTTCTTTTGATTATGACTTGCTGTTTCGTAAGTTGGGTGATGCGTATGAGGAGCGAGCCATTGCTATGTTCGAAGGATATGCTTTGAGTATAAAAGGTCATTTCGACAGAGAATTCTCTAAATTGAAGACTTACATTGAGGGGTGTATGAAGTCCAAGGTCGATGTTGAAGCAGGCACTGCGGCAGCAACACCCGCCGATCAAACAGTTTCTACCAATGCTGGACAGTCTGCAGTGAATAGGAAGGGCCCCACTGCTCCTGCGCCAAAGCCTGGGAAATATAATGGTAAGTGATGATTGCTCCGAACATGGTAATGTTATCGTGGTTTATTAACATTTTTATTTTTTATATAATTAAGGTAGGAAGCGGAGCAGAAGTGCCACTAACATTGGAGGGAAGGTATGTCGTCGGTGTGCTGATATTAGATGTATCTCATGTTTTGGTAAATCGTTTTGTCATTTATACTAGTTGCATCGGGAGCCTTAGTATTCATATGTTGGATGTAGGGTTTGACACCTGATATTGAAATTAGAGAAGGGAGTGCTCGCGATACACACTTTTCTGCTTCACGTCATGATCATCTAGGTCGCTCTGAGGATGAGGAGGTATGGCTATCTATCCATCTTATGTGAAATAATGTTTCTATGCTATATTGACTGTGTAGACTGCACGATTTTACATAGTATAGTTTTGTTTGGTTACTGCTTTTAAATGGCACTCATTTAAGGTGTGTAGTGGTTCGCTAGGGCCCACAGTGTAGTAAGACTGATG